TTATACTCAATAAAATAATCAACTAGGATGCCGACATAGGTCGATCAACCCCCATGACCAATAACCATAGCTCGAAAGAAAAATCAAAGAAAATTAACTATTCAAAATTTTAAGACTCCATTTATAGCATTAAAATTTGAGGAATGGAAAATCTTCCTCGTAATTCTAATTTGTAAATATTTTATCTATTATTTTTACTTGATGTCAAGACAATCTAGAGAGGAGGAAATAATGTACAGCAACTCAGCAAAGAAAAAAAAAACGTTAAGGAGAAATAAGTAAGAATTTGACCAAGAGAGAAGAAGATAGAACTAAGGCAACAAAGTGGCGATTGACGATCGGTGATGGAGATTCTGACAGTTGGAGTGGCAACGGACAATGACGAGATGAAAGAAAATTTTAGAGTTGCAAAATAAAAGTGAATGAGAGGAAGTGGGTGAGTGTAGGAGAGTGCTACGATTTTTGAATCATAGGCGTCGGGTCGGGTTTTATGGGCAAGGTTAGTATTTAATGTGAATTGACATTTGTACTTCTGGAAATTAGTATAGATTATGTGTCAAAATTTCATTAGTCAACACTTTTTTAATTATATAAACAATTTTGAGTTTAACGTGGAATTAGAAATTACTAACGAAGGTATTTCAATCTAAATTATTGTAAAATAGACATTGAATAAATTTTTGATATTTTTTCAAATGACCATGTGAACGTAGACATTTCTAGAAATTTCCTCAAAGCACATATAAGTCTTTGCACAAGTGATATCCCCACCCAAGTCAATGAGATGTTGGAGGAAATAATGCTTTACAACAATAGAGCACAAGCGTTGTTCTTAATAAATTTAGGGTCGAGTATAAAAATTCCTTTCTACCACTCGGTTCAGTTTATTGCTAGACATATCGGAATATGCAAAGCAACTGAAAAAATCAAATAGTCATTGAAGAAAACTTCATAGGAGTTCATACTAACAAATTTTTAATCAAATATGGATTTGCTCTACCTACTAGATCAGTTCTTTCATCTAGGATCAATAACTTCTCCCTGAGATCCTTCTGAAAAAGGGATTTGTACCGAACCCTAATAATTTATGAAACTAAGGGCGTGTTTGTTGACAATTGTTTCATGACTGCATTATCCTTATGAGGTATTCATCACCGTGAATAAAAAATGCTCGTTTCATGCAATAGAAAGCAGCCTCACAAAATGCAATCCTTTCAATTGAACAAAATTCTACAAGAACTCTTGCCCAGAAATATATACCACGGGAACGTGAAGAATCAATAGAAAATTCTTCTCATAGACATAGTATTATCTTGAAACAACTCAATAAGCAAACACGGATTGAAATAATCATGTTTCAAAATGAGATATACTACATCAACTTTGTCTATCACGAACTGAATCGTGAAAGGTTAATATAGGACCTAATTTTTCTCCAGTCATCTTACGAGTTACAACTACACTTTAATTGACAATGCCAAAGGCATTTTTATGTATTCAAAGCAATAACTACAATGAATCCATTAACCCACTTTCAGCTATATGTTATAAGACTTTATGTACATCCAAAGTAGATTCACACTTTCATTTTAGAATAATAAGTTGTAGGGATAGGAAGGCATAATACCTCTTGAACTAGTGAATGAACTGACAAATCTAACAATTTTGAATAGAATTCAAATAGCATGCATACAGGCACACACCAAAACTAAATCTGTTTCCTCTTCCTTCTATTAGAAGACGGTTCTCAATGGAGCAAGAGGATTTGCGTAGGATTTTCTTAAAGAGGAAACGAAGCTAATCTTTATATGGGCTGAAGCAATTGTGAATTTATAAAGGGCCCAGGCTTATTCATCATATTAATCTAAACTCATGAGCAGCAGAGAGTCCAACCATCATAGTTCAACTAAACTAAAAGCCAGTCAATATATCATCATAACTTCAAATAATTCTAGCATTGCAACTCATTCTCAACCACTCTTAAGAAGCAAATTACTACTCTTTGCAACATAATTTAACTGCAGAATGCAAATTTACAGAATTCATAGATTCCAATTAACAACGAAAAGAGTACTTCTTCTTACACTTTTCAGCCAAAAAAGAAAAGGAAAAGAAACAGAAAATAAAAAGACATAATATACACCACAACACAACCAATTCCTCCATAAAGACTTTAAGTTCAGATCCCTCCAACCCACTACAAATTAATAAAAAAAAAAAAAAAGAAGGAGAGGAAAATTTGACGTATTCAATCAGATTATACCTCATTATTTCCGGCTATCATAATCCAGAATCTCATTATCAGTGACCGATCTGGAGTGCTGCACAATAGAACGCCCAATGGAATTAATCCAATCCTCCTTTTCCTTCTCCGAATCTGCTATAAAGTACATGGTCTCTGACCTAGTGGATAATTCAAAGGCAAATTGCCGATTCAGTACATCCTCCGCGCCTTTGACTGTAAGGCAATTGGCCACTGGGATCACTCCACGTGGCTTGGAACCGCTATTGACGTCGGATTCCTTGAACCAGAAAAGCTTTCCTTGTTTCAACACGAACCAGCGGCGCCGCCAAGTCTTGATGTACTCGCCTTGCTTCATCAGCCAACCGCACCGTTCCGGGTTGACCCAGAACTCCACTCCGTCGTAGTTTTCGCTGGATTGGGCCGAGCCCATCGCCGCCCGCCACAGGCTCGCCATGATCGGTGCTGGTGATCGAATCAATGAGAGAGAAGAGAGAGAAAAAGATGTATTCTCGTAAGAGAGGTGGTTCGATTCTTGTTTGTGCACTTTTGGGTAAATTTCTCAAGAGGTCCCCAATCCTTAACAAGTGTGATATTCATATCTCCAACCTTCTATTTATGGCGTCCATGTCCCTGACCTTTAAAACTATTAGAATGCTATCCCAACATGAATTATTTATTTTAGTTGGAAAATTTACCCATTTCAGACATTAAGCACTTATCAAGTGCCATTTTACTGTCTAAATAAACTTTTTTGTTAGAATGATACACTCTATGTACAAAGTTAAAAAGTTTTTAACACTGTAAATAGAAGGTCGAGGACATGAATGTCACGTTGACAAAAGTTTGGAGACCCCTAAAAAAATGTACCCTTTATTTTGTTTTTGTTTTTTTCCATTTATTAGCATATTGGTTTAACTTTAATAATCAATTGTTTGTGGTCTTTAAAGTTTTTGACTTTAGCGAGACATGTACAACTGTTGTTAAAGGGTAGCGCTATTTTCATACACGTTTTTTATAAATACATTCATTTTTAAAAGTAAAATTTTACTATATTTTAAATCACATATCAATTTATTTAAATAGACATGAGTAATAATGAACAGTTTGGATAATAAAAGATAACGTTCTTCCCACAAAATTTTTTGACAAGTGAATTTGACAAATAATCTCAACCCTTAATTTAAATCAATTTAAAGGTCTAGATTCATTTTCTTGAAATCTTCTAAAAATTAAAAATAGGCACCCCCATCCCCCATCTAAATCTACTAAATGGGCTTCACTGTAGATTAGTTCCTCCTCCTCCGCCACCACCCCTCCTTGTCACTCTCGTCATATTCCGATTGTTCTCATGACTTATTTAATCAATTCACCTCTTCAAATCACTTGAACACCAGCGAGAGCTCTTCCAATATTCATAATTCGTTGATCCATAATAGAAGTGGTAATACTAACGGAATATTATCCGGGATTGTAAGATCTAAATTGGATGGAGACTGTAATTGTTGCAAGAGTTTGGAATTTCCCATAATTAGTTCGAGCGGTTCATTGACATTCCAAGGAATGGGGAGTCTGACGAGGGTTTGGAGAGTAATAAGCCGAATACTAGTGGGGGTGTGTATGATTAAAAAAATTTGGGTAATGGGAAAGAGTTTTTGGCCTTAACACTGGTAAATAATTGCTCTCAGATGTTGCAGGTCCCTGGCTTGCAGTTTGAGTTACTCTTAAGTTCAACAAAGCTTGTCATATTATAGCTCCACGTGATATTATTGGACATGAATCCAAAACACAGAAGAAAATGATTGTCAGCATGTCAGCCCTTCACAACGTTTCTTTTGTTTATATTAATTTAAAGACATTAACAACCCCTGTTTGACCAAAAAAACCTGATAAAAAGGATATGTTAAAGCATATGATTCTTTGGATTGACCAGGAGATTGAAAATATATTCCTGCCGGTTGACTTCTTTTGTGCCTATTTCTGATATATGCGAATTGTGCATTTGTAAAGTTTAGATGATGGTAGACATCATTTATCATGAAAAAATAATTAAGTAAAAATTGTTTATATTTTGATATTAGCCACCTACAATGAATATATAAAATTCACGTGAATATATCACTACTATATAAAAAGGGCAATCACTACTGTAGAAAGAACAGTAGATTCTTCCATTGTGTCTCAGTTTAGTTTTTTTTTTTTTTAATTGAGAGAAAGAAACGACGTCGTTTATTTTACGTGTTTGGTACAGTGACTTTGTTGCTTTTCCTCAATTTACGCGACGTGGAGGATTATGTCATAGAGCCCTCTTTATTCTTTCTCTATTTTTACATGTTACAGCCATGCCTCTCTATTTCTCCACACTATCTCTTTCACCATTTTCTCACGCTATCAATCAAGTATCTTTAGAAAGTTTATTTTTGAGCACATAAGTAAGTTTAAATAAAAATATTATTTTTATATATGTACGTAAATGGTATGTAGTAACCATTTGGTTGACCAAAAAATAATATTAATCAAAATGTTTACGAACCGTTTAAATAATTATTTATTGAGGGGGTTAATTAAAAAGCAAAAGTGTGAATTCCATAAATATATGATTGAAAATATGTTTGAAGAAAAATAAATTTTAAAAAAGAAGACCAAACATGTTAACAAGTGAATATATTTATTTTTCGAGAAATGAGTTTTTATTACCATTTCATTTTTATCACGAAATGATTCTAATCTTAATATGTTAGATTGTACTTCAAAATTACATACTCTATCAAATATAATTTTTAAAATTAATTTTTATAAAGTAATATATTTTTATGATTTTTTTTATTTTAGTAAAGTAATAATGGAGGCTCATGCTTGAGCCTCCATAATTGTTATGGAGGCTCAAGTATGAGCATCCATAACATATTATTTTATAAAATTAATAAGAATTTAATTATTTTCTATTTTTTAGTACTATTAAATTTCACCTTCCAAAAAAAAAATCATAAAAACATATTACTTTATAAAAATTAATTTTGATAGATTATGTAATTTTGAAGCACAATCTAACACATTAAGATTAGAATCATTTCATGATAAAAATGAAATGGTAATAAAAACTCATTTCTCAAAAAATAAATATATTCATTTGTTAACATGTTTGATTTTCATTTTTTAAAATTTATTTTTTTCAAACATATTTTCACTCATATATTTATGGAATTCACACTTTTGCTCTTGAATTAACCCCCTCGATAAATTACTATTTAAACGGTTCGTAAACATTTTGATTGATATTATTTTTTGGTCATCCAAATGGTTATTATATACCTTTTACGTACATATATAAAAATAATATTTTTATTTAAATTTACTTATGTGCTCAAAAATAAACTTTCTAAGGATACATGATTGATAGCGTGAGAAAATGGTGAAAGAAATAGTGTGGAGAAATAGAGAAGTATGGTTGTAGCGTGTAAAAATGGAGAAAGAATAAGCATCCATTATTTTATGTATTTATTTTAGGAATATTAAAAAAATTAAATTCATTAAATAAAATTAAATTATTGTACTGAAAGCCAATGAAGAAAAAAAAGTAAAAAAATTCACGAATTACGGAGGCTCAAGCACACATGAGCCTACATATTATGGAGGCTTTATCTCCATGAAGCCTCCGTATTATGGAGGTTTTACCTTTATAATACGGAGGCTTTAGGAGGCTTTAGAGAGGCCTCCATAAAGTCTCCATAATATTTTTATTTTTATTTTTTTAATATATATTAAAATTATTATTATTATTTTAATGTTGTTGGTATGATGCGCGTATGGAAGAATATTTGTCAATCGCCATAAACAAAATTCTTCACAAAATGCATAATAAATCTTTTTATTACGTTAATAAAATTACAATAAATTTTTTTTTTTTTACAAATAACAGAAAAAAATTATTTTTATTTTTAACAAAAAACACATTTAAAAATTAGCAATTTCATAACCACTTTTTTTTTAAAAAATTTCGGGAATACAATTATAAAAAAGGAAACAATATTGAATTACAACATTTAATACTTAAAAAATTCAATATTAAATAAATTTTATATATTTATAACAAATTATAAATCCATATATGTATTTTACCGTATTTGCAGGCACTTTACCGTATATGCTTCTTATCGTATTTGCAAACAATTTACCGTATTTGTATCTTATCGTATATGTTGCCTACCTTATTTGCAACTTACCTTATTTGCAAACAACTTACCGTATTTTCACCTTACCGTATGCTGCTTAACGTATTTGCAACTTACCGTATATGTTGCCTATCGTATTTGCAACTTGCCGTATTTTTATATACCGATTTTTGCACTTACGAATACTGAGAATGCATAACATCGTACATTCATTATCCAACCGAATTTCAAAAAAAAATTCAGATTTTTATTTTTTCAACAGAAGTATAAAATAAATATTAAATATATATGAAGCACAAAATATAAATACATATGAATATGGTGCCAAGAGAAATCAGTATCGTAGTTTCACGTTACAAATAATTTTTTTTTTAATTTAAAATTCTTCTTAATTCTTTTCTCTTCAAATTTTTACTTACAATTAACTTTTTGTAAAATATTTTGTGTCTTATACTATCTTTATTTTTTAATTTTTTGGGAGGTATGGAAATTGTGTGTTGCAGTATTTTCTTACAGTATAAATATTTTTTAATTAAAATTGAAAAAATTAAATTTTTTCATAAAGAAAAAAATTAAAAAGTATTTTAAATCGAAAAAAAAATTTAATATGAACAAAACAAATAAAAAATAAATAAATGAGGAAAAAATAACAAACGAAAAAGAAATCTCCATGCATCTTGCGCTAATGTAATGAACCAAACCATTAGATTTCACGAAAAAGAAATCTCCATGCATCTTGCGCTAATGTAATGAACCAAACCATTAGATTTCACCAAATATTTTGAATTTTCAACCAATGTTAAAAAATCTACAATTTTGACGCTAATAAAATACAATAAATACAAAACTCGAGCAACGCACGTGTCAAAGACTAGTAGTGTTTAAATAATTGGATTTAATAAGGGCAAAATTGGAAATGACATGGATGTAAATAGTATTTTTTTTAAAATTTTATAAGGGATGAACTTAGAATGTGAAGTACTTATAAAAAACGTGGATGAAAATATTGGTACCCATGATAAATTGTCTATACATTGTTAGACTTTGTTTGTTCATCATTTTATTATATTATTTGTTTTATAGTACTCTATTTTAACAATACATTCTTCATTAAAATAATATTGCACATAAATCATAAATTTTCTTTATTTTTTAACCACACATTTTAACATCAATCACTATTCAATAATACATTATTCACAAATAATGAGATACAAACACCCCCTTAATTTACACTAGGGCTCACAAAAAAATCACGAAATCACAAATCGAATCGAAATCGTTGAGTTGAAACCGTTAGTTCGGGTTCACGTGGACCCGTGATTTTTTTCTTCAGATCGAATCAAATCGTTTCAAAATGGTTTGGTTTAGATTTTTTATTTTCAAAAATTGCACAAAATCGAATCGTTTTTAAAATTTTTAATTAAAAAATTAATTTTATTAATTTAAAAATTTTACAGTTTTCACTTTTAAGAAAAATATCAATTTAGCAATACAAATTACAATCAGTGTATTGAAATAATCGTGGAAAGTAAATTAGGTTCATCATTATTGCGTTATGGTTTAACAAATTCACAGCATATGTTCTCACCTGATATCTAAACTAAACTAAAATTATTCCAAAATTATATGAAATGAAAAAAATATAATAATAACATATATATTCAACAATTCAAATCATAATTCAACAAAACTATATCAGTAAATCACGTCCAAAACTTCAAAAGCCTTTACATAAACTCTCATTTTCCTAACATTTGACACTTATCTGCCACTGCTGAATGAATCCTCAGTTGCATTTGCCTGTTAATCTGCTAATTTCTACTTAAATCGCATATTTTTCTTTTCTCTTTCAGTAAGTTTCTAATTCTCATCTAGCCATTTCTCCATTGTTCTTCTTTTATTTGTTGTTTTTTAACTTATTATACACTTGTGATATGTGATTTTGAAAGAAAATGGCTTTTTGCGTGCTTAGATAATTAATGAACTTGTTCATAATTTGAAAAGAACGAAAGACGGAAACGTATTGAATGTGTGAAAATATTAAAATTCCCTAACTAGTACTATTACATTCTGCTTTCATAAAATAGTTAAGAGAATGAAATTATTCAATTCCCAATAAGTTGAAGTAGACATCTCCATCATTAATTCAAGAATTGATCGATCAATCAATCAAGTCTTTTGAATTTGATCGGAGTCATAATGAACTTTGTGGTTTATGAGAACCCATGATGACATAATAGTTTCATTAATCTTCTATAAGGACGTTATTTTACATACCGAGAATGATAGTCCAATTCCTATATGATCAAAATTGAACCGAATGACGTTAAGAATAATCGACTTTTATAATTCAAAAAGTGAGACTCAAATTCCTCGTGTGCCATGGTTTGCATGAGCCTAGATATCCATCAAGTGGTTCAGGATACAGTCGAACCTGAAATAAAGCACGTGAAAGCAATTAAGCATATTATTAACTATCTACAGGAGAACTAGAGAGACTATGTTTATCTATTCAGAGAATATAATATTTTTTAGTTAAACATTGGCTCGAAGAAATCAACATCTGGATCATACTTACTGTAGTAGCAATGTAAAGAAATGTGTATCGTCGACGGGTAATTATAAAATGCATGAAAAAAAATTATTGTGTAGAAGAAAATCAGGTGGGAACATATGTGGTCCCTTAGAAAATAGAGGACAAACTTTAGGAAGGAACACCCACCACAGAAACTCACAATTATTGAAATGCATGTGATGCGACCAACAGACTTTAGCATCTGTCATTTTCAGTTTCCATCAGGAATCCCAACTTTTTTTCTTACATAATTATGTATTTGATCTTCATTTTTCCCATAGAAGAGCACTGATCTACAAAACTTCGTATCTTCAGACTACAGCAAGAAACTGCCTACCGCTTCATTCAGTCTAATTGAAAATACAGGTCTTGCCAGACACAAATTTGAAACAGAAGGGCAGTGATCTCAATTGCACAAGAAAAACATCACAAATGGAAGACATTTCAGAATATAACCAAGTCACTAATAGTAATACACAAAGACCATTAAACTTTATGCCGATCATAATTCTACCAGCTTTTTCCATAGCGTTTCTCATTTCTCACAACATTATGCCAGTTGAGAATCTAAATAAAAATGGATGGCTATTACTGGAGATTGTATATATGGTAGTTCGAATAAGTCATCACCTACCATGTAAGTTCGGAGGAGATTGAATACCCTTATCACTGCTAACATCATCATCTACTTCGTTTCCATCTAGACAAAGGGCATTATTATTGACACTCACATCGGAACTTGCATTACTGCTTGTTGCAAGTGGTGAATCCGAGACACTGACTGCCCTGCCTCTGGTAGGCCCTGTTCTCACACTGTACATGGAGGATGCTGGGATATTAGTCATTAGCGGACGTAGATTGCCTGGAATAGTTCGCCTTATATCCTGTTCAAACAAACAATCACGAATTAATCCTTGAGAAATATATAAAAGATACTAACCAAAGAGTATTGAGATAGAGTACGTTTATCAGAGCAAATTATCGCATAGTATATCAGGATTAACATTTTCAGATCCTCCCAAGGTGTTGACAGAAATTCTGTCCATTATTTTACTATAATTAAACATACTTGTAGCATCACTCCAACAATAGTAACACAAGTTCAGATGAGTATACATACCATATGTCTTATTGCCATATCTAAGGATTTCTTTGAAAGCGTTCTTCCAAAGCCTGTGCTCTCAGGTGATGAGGACTTTCCAGATAAGTTGCTACTGGGCGAATGCTTATCGTCTTGCTTTGGTGGAGCCAATTTCCGCATATTTATGACCCTCTCAACCATTTTAGTACCATAAAGAACAGGGCTCACATTGTCATTAGCCTTGGCACGCAACCGATTTACAGAATGCACAGGGACAGAGCTTCCACTGCTATGAATGATGCCACTTGACAGCCGTCCCCGTGCTGGAGAAGAAGATTGTCTTCTAACCCTTTCATTCGAACTACGTTCAACAGATGAAGATCGAGAACTTGGTGCACCAGGTCTGCCCCTAGTGGCCGAAGGTGGCCTGTCAGGCGGCAGAGATGTCCTCAAATTTGGAGGGGCATCAAGGGAGAATCCAGGCATTTCAGAAGGCTTCCATGGTCTGGGTCTCACAGCTGGGGAGTTAGACCTTGGTGGAACTGGATTTTTTGCTGCATTGGGAATTGGCTTGGTAACTGAAGATGAAGTTGGGGAATTTACCTGAGCAGCAGACACACTTGTTGCACTTGTCGTCGAAGTGGGCCTACGAGTTGGAGTTGCTGCTCTGGAAGTGGACTTTGAAGCAGGTATAGATGAACTGGTTGTTGGTGTTGAAGATCTCGCAGTAGACCTTGTTGTAGGTGTAGAAGATCTTGAAGGAACTGTGGGCTTCGAAGAAGATAACGTACCACGGGAAGTAGGTGTAGCAGACCTCGAAGGTTTAGATGCTGTATTTGATATTGTTCTAGATGTTGTATGTGTGGTTGGTTTAGACTGGTTCATCGAATTAGATGCCGAGGTCAAAGTAGATCTAGATGTTGAACCCAAAGTTGGACGCCCGGTTGGTGTTGCAGGTCTTGATCTGTGTCCTCCAGACGAAGAAGGCCTAGAAAGACCTCCACTTGAAGCATTCAAACCTGGAGATGAAGCTGGTTGTCTCGATGACATATTGCTCCTTGCACCGGGCTCAGGCTGGAGATTTGCAAGCTTCGCCCATGAAAAACAAGTTGCAGCACAACGTCAGTTCATCAATTTTATATACAAGATTAAATATTCGAACAAGGGCTGCAAATAAATATAATTCAAGAAGAATCATATTTTCATTCATGTGGGGACAGGTCAAAAACTGCAGAGATGGAAGAATAGAACACTCCAATTCAAATATACATTATGAATCATTTTACGTCATGTTTTTTACAAGTGAACAATATATGCATCTTCTGTTTTAGAAATTAAAGATGCTTTCTTAATCACATTACATTAGTTGCAGAGCACCTATTGAGAGGATACTTGAATTTATTATGCAATTGCAATAATGAACATCATCGATGAATAAAATGAACCATATTTTTCATGAAATGTCCTTTGCCTCCGACATACCAGAACTAGTTAAAGATGCTGAAAGAAAACCTAATCCTCAGTTTCTTCCACAAGGTAAATGGAAATTAATAGAAGATGTTGGCTACATGATATGTGTTGATTACTTAATTTACAGTGCGTATTTGCCTTTAATCCACGTGAAGAATGGTACTGGGAACTTTTACTATTTCTGAGTACTCACAGGAGACAGCCCCTGAATAGGAGATTTGAGTTGGTTTTACTTGCACGTTATTGAATAATCAAACTCATAGTCTTTAGATGCCTGAAGCACTGCTAACATACTTCTCGACAAATATTTAAGAATGTGATTATCGCCATTTGAAGTACAGTATGGATTTATTAAAAAAAAAAAAAAAAAGGGACATCAAACACATTCCACTTACTCTAGATTTTAGTGCCGTGGGGCGGGCTTTTGGAGTTCCCAGCTGGCTCATAACAGTTTTCTGTGATTCAATCTCCAGTGAAGGAAAAAGGGGAGTACCAGGAGGCGTTAAAAGCCTGAAAACATAAGAAAACTTTACTACACTACAATAATCAGGACTTTGAATTAACTTGAATTCAGATCACAGTGAAAGTTGCAAATCCAATTAAGAGAAGTTATTTGTGATTGCATTGATAAGCGCAAATTTTGCAACTCTTACAGGAAATAGGACAACATTTAGGAACAAAGTATGAGGAAGACACAATACTTAAGTAATGCTTCAGTTTAACTAAATTTTCATAATGAACATAAAATTAAGTTTGAACTTGAATAGATTTCATATTCAGTCAATCTGGAACGAGCTTTAAAAAGATGACTAGCTTGTTCTCTATGCAATATTATTAGCTTATTGAACAGAGCTTTACAATCACTGAAACGTATCTCAAGATTGACTTGTTCAGCTAACAAACGAATTTAAATGGCTATTTTCTGGTAGCTTGGTTCATTTTTAAGCTCTAGGGAAGCTGATATGCCAACATCATCTATGCTCATTGGTAAAGGATCAGTTGCAAAGCTATGAAAACATAATTGCGTGTTTTCTGAAACCACATCCCTCTCCAATAATAATAAGACATAAAAACCAAAGTCACCAAATTACTGATAACCTGGTCAATAAATTTGACCAATAGAGAGAGACAAAAACCACAGATTTTGAAATTCAAATTGGCTGATCAATAGAAATTACTCATGTGCTCACATACCTAAGGGATTCAAGAAAGAAGAGACAAACACTTCCATTACCATTTACCAAATGCTCCCAAGAAAGCAGAGCAAAATCATTACAGAAGACAGTCAAGTACGCAGGGACTGAAACTTCCATTCAAAAGCTATTGATATTACTATCCTCACTAGTCAACCACAATAATTGAAATTGTCAGAGTGAGAAGAAATAATAACCCATAATTGATATTAATAATTACCATTCATAGTCGTTTTTTTCATTGTCTGAATTGAGAAAATCATCAGCACCAGTTTTCCTATGAGATGCAGGTACAGCTGAAGATAAATTAAATATTGGAGAATTACCCGCTCTTGATCCTGCATATTGAGATTAAAAAAAGGAACTTATATTTAGAAGACCATATTAACTGAAGTGCACCAGCTTCCAACAAATAAATTATAAGGGTATTTCTTTGATTTTTTTTATTTTTTATTTTTCCTTTATCATTCCATAAACTAACTACTACAAGAATCTAATATGTCAGCACTATTACCGCATTAAAAGGCTTATCTATTTTTTTATTAACACAGCAAGATATCGTATTAAGTCAAATAGTTAAAAATTCCCAGAATAAAATCTAACACACATATTCACCAGTCAAAAAAAAAAAAAAAAAAAAAAGAACCCAAAAAACACGCTCTTCAATCACGCCGAAATCACCATATACTACAATACTAATATTATAAACAAAAAGACATTAAAAATTCAAACTTTTAACTAGTACCGATTGGAGAATCAAACTCATCAGAGTTCTGAAGAAGAAGAAGATTATTCCGTTCCTTATCGCGTTTTCGCATCTCACGAAACAATGCCAGGTCCTCGTCTTTGGTATCCTTCATCATTGATGTTCTCAGACTCCTCATTTTCTCCCTCTCCGGTGCCCTAAAACTCCGATTCATGCCAATAAATTACAAGAAAGGACCCACCAAACCTTAAAACAACCTTTAATTATTCACCATCATTCCAAATCATTCAAATTACAAAACCCTAGTTTTTTTTCCTCAAAAGAAACCAAAAAAAAAATAACGTCGTAAATCGCAGATCCAAGAATGGAGCTTCAATGCCTCAAAATTTAGAAAACAAAATTCAGCGGAACCAGTCAGAACTTCACTTTCTTCACATAAATAACCCCAACCTCCGCTTTTTCAACCATGACGGAGAAATAAAGATTATAAAATGCCCTTGAGCATATGGCGCAGAAATGATGTGAAAACTGGAGAGAAAAAGAAGTGGCAGTGTTTGTAATTAGGACAGGAGAATATATGAGGAATTTCAGGAAATGGCCATTTCAGTTCTGAGAAATAAAATCATAATTTTATTTATTTATTTATTTTTTTTCAGATATGGAGAACTGGAGTAGAAAGAGAAATGGGAAGTGTGGAGACTGGAGAGAGAGAGGGGGGTAGCTTTGGTAATACAAGTAATGGAGGATTAGGGCTGTTTTCATCTCTCTTAAAAGCTACGTTATCTGTGATTTCCAACTCTTCTTTTGCACTTCATAATCACGAAACTCACCCAACACTTTTCAGATTATGTTTTGAGTTAGTTTCACTTTTTATAGAAAATTTTAAGTTGGTTGCTATTTATTTATTTTTTAAATAATACTGCTTGTACGTAAATAATTGTATAATAATTTACGTAGAGATGATAATAGGTCAAAAAGAGAGTGAAGAATTTATTCATTTATTTTTTTATTTTTTAAATTTGGATTAGGAAATTCTAATCCAATTATATCTCGTCATATAAACTTATTATGCTCCAATTAAGTTCTGATTTTTCAAATCAAAAAATTAATTTTTTCAGTGTTATTTAACATAATCAACCGTCATTTTTTATTATTTCACTAAGATATGGAGCTCACTTTTCTCTCTAAAGGTCAAAAAATTAATTCTTATAATCAATATCAAACAGACCCTATATATAGTAGCATAATAAAATTTATTTATTTTTAATTTTTTATTACAACTAGCTAGCCTGAAAAATACGATTCGGATCAAATTCAAACCATCTCAAACTGGACGAGTTCGAATGGTTACTTTTTTGTTTCCTTCATTTTTAAGTTTGATATGATGTAAGCTATAATTGAAAAACAATCCTCAATAATTTCAGCAACGTGTTTGCAAATTATATCATGTTTTTGTCCTTGAAAAAGAACAATGCTATAGTTCCACGGTTGGTTACCAGAGCACAAGTTTAGATAAGAACATATGATAGATCTAATTAAGAGGATGTTTGACACTTATTTTTATATAAAAATGAATTTTAAAATAATAGATTGATGAAAAATGTGTTGATGAAAAATAATGAAAAGTTTTTTATTTATGTGTATTATTATTTTAATGAAGAATGCGTGGTTAAAAAGAAGATTGAAAAAATGTATTTTGATAAAAATGAGAATCAAACAGGACCTAAATGAAATATACTTTCTTGTGTTTAAATGGATCTATCATTTAATAATATATTTGTTATAATTTAAATTGGTGTAAGAACATCTCTAAGAGTCACTTTAAATATGTGTTGACACAGAAAAAGTTCAATCCAAGTCGAATAACCCAAGAAATGAAATCCAACTGGAAAATCCTCAAAATCAAATAGCCCAAAGAACGACCTAATCAAGCAATGCAGGATAAAGGCCAAATAGGGAAGCCCATGAATGCGGTAATACCATCGCCCAAGGTTGCAAGTCGCCCAAGATTTGAACGAATAAATTGCCATGCAGTCGCCCAGAGCTGTGACCTTGCTCTCGTCCAAACATAAGATGTTATGGTTACCCAAAAAGTGCAGTTAATAAAGCAGTTATTGGGTAGTCCTATCACGTTCCACGATTCAAGGAATTCAATTGAAGACGGTTGAACGACAAAAGTAATGGCAGCAGTTAGAGAAGGCAGTTTCATGACAAGTTGGTCACTACAAGGAAAGTGGGCAATTATAGAGCGATCAAACAGTTTTTAAGCGGTTGATCACGAAAAGATCATCCAGGGAATATAAAAAGAAGGAAAGACATAGAGCAAAAAAATCCCGAATCAAACACTTTCAAACAGGGAATATGTAACTTTCAATTTCTTAGTTTAGATTTAAACACTTTTTTTACAGTAACTCGTGTGCTTGCGCCCCTTAAAGACATTCTGTTTTTATTTTCCAATTGTAAAGTCATCGCCAATAAAAACACCCATTTTTGAGACTTTGTCTCAAGAGATTTGTCCCTTACACAATCGTCTGATCCCTTTTTAATTGTTAGCGACTAAACCGCGCGAAACAATTTGGCACGCCCAGTGGGACAGTGGTGTTTGGTGTTGAAGATACAAAAGGTGAAACAATATGCCTCAGAGATCCGATAAGGAAGCAGCAAGTCAGGGATGAGTCCAGTTTGTGATCGAGCGATATGAGGAGCAGCATAGCTCTCCATGAATAGACGGACAAAATCAGAGCAATAACAGTCGTTACGAATCAATGGCAGAGTTGAGTCCTCGAACCATGCGTGCACTACTTAGAGAACTCACACAAGATGTCGTTGAACAGGTAAATTTTCGAAATATTCATAATATGGAAAGATTTACCCAGAATGAGAATGCACATTATGACAACATGGCCAAACAACTGAATACTTTAAATGAAATAATGAATAAGTTAGTAGGCCAAATTTGTCAACCAGTTATGCCTCTTGCAAACCATTTTCAAATTAGGATAATTGTGGGACATAATCCCCCAATCTTAAATCCAAGTCAAGGGGTAGAACCACATTTCGGTCCCTCTACTTCGAACCAAGGGGATGGTGTAATGTCAAATCAGAATAATGGTAGTGGTACGCCTAACTTGGGGGGTAATCCAAATGTAAGAGATAATGTCCTAAATAACGGGCAGAATACCCCACGTGTTAATGAGGGAGTAAATGTTCAGGCTAATGGTAACAATGGCCCAAATCATGGTAATTTTATTCCTAATTAAGGACCAAATATCAGGCCTCAAGCAAATCAACCGGTCAACCAACCTGTAGGAATTCCATACGACCCCAACGTCATGTTGAGGAATCAGATTATGAAAATCGTACAGGACCAGATGGCTTTTGAGGTACGTCCTGTCATTAGACCGATCTACACAAAGCCATATCCTGATTGGATAGACCAAGCATATCCATGCCCTAGATGGTACAAAGTGCCAGAATTCTCACTGTTTACCGGTTTAGGGGAGGTGTTTACTCTAGAACACATAGGACGATTCACGCTACAAAGTGGTGACGTAACTGATTATCATAAAATGAGACTTTTCCCTAGTTCATTAACAGGAGTAGCTTTCTCTTGGTTCATCAATTCGCCAGCAAATTCTGTTCAAACATGGCAACAATTGGAACAGTTATTCCACGCTCGATTTTATAAGACTGAGTCTGAAGTTACTTTGGCCGATTTGGCGAACCTACGTCAAATGTCAAACGAATGGGCAGAAAGTTTCCTCCAAAGGTTCAAGACAGTAAGAAGTAAATGTTTTGTACCTCTGCCCGAAAAAGAGTTTGTCAAAATCGCTCAAGGTTGTTTGAGTTTTGATTTAAAAAAGAAATTCCAAGACAAGGAATTTCCTGACCTTTTCCAATTGAGCGCGAACGTGATTAGGTATGAACGATTGATAAGAGAAGAAGAACAGATAAAAAATTATAGCAAGGGGACTTATTATAGAGACCCAAATTTTGATGTTCATACCATCAATAACGAGTTATACGATCAGATCGAAATGTGTTTGGCCGAATTAGTCAAAGGAGACACGTATATTTTTCCTATAATGGCTAAGCCTAGACCATCGGGCAAGGATGAGCTTATGAAAGATGAAAACGTAAAAGCTAGAACGTTCTCGTTCGATGTAATCAAAACTGACCTTATATTTGATAAATTATATAAGGATAAGCAGATAAAGTTGAGCGATAAGCATAAATTGCCAAACCCTGAACAAATTAAGGGTAAAAAATATTGTAAGTGGCATAATGTATGGTCACATTTGACTAACAATCGCTTGATTTTTCGCCATGTGTTACAGGATGCCATTGAATCAGGACGAATTACGTTCGATGATAAAAAGAAGATGGCGGTGGATGAAAATCCTTTTCCAAAGCCACTTGGAGTGAATATGGTGACGTCTCGTTTCAAAAACAAGTTGCCAAAATTCAAATTGGTTATAGATGATGGAAAAGAAGACCCTGGATCACATCCCAGTGTCTTCGAGCGTATTAAAGGGAAGGAGCCAAAAAAGAATGAAGACGTCTTGTATGCAAGATGTAAAAGAGAAGTGAATGGGAATACGGAGAAACCAGGGATATGGCAGCATTCCTATCGCCCTACTTTCTTCCCAAACGCTCAGCCTGGTAGAGGGTGAGGTACATCGTTCTACAAAGGACCGCCTTTTGAAAGGCAGTTCAGGCCAGTAGATAATGGGAGAACATTCAGACTGCAACCTCGCCGACGAAATGTATGGCATTCGTTCCAGTATAATACAGGAAAGGCAATACCCTTCTACGAGATGACTAGAACCCACCAAAGGCGTTTTCAACGAAATTATAAACGAATGATGAGACAACAACAGGGAGTGCCATGTCCTAAGGTGCCTAAATTACTCAAGGTAGCCAATCAAAATGTTCTCAAAGATAGTGAAGAGACTGGTACAGATGAATCAATGAAAGAGTTGCTAGAAACTTCTTCTGGGAGATTGAAATTTGAGCGAGACAGAAAGGATGGAGAAGATCCAGATCAGCCCCTTACTATTCAGTTCAGTACGTTACCTCCCGTTGTGGCTAATAACTATTTACTAGCCAATGAGTTCAAGAATAAAGAGAAAGAAGAAGAAGAAATAGAGGATAACGAAGGAGAAGTATGCGTGCTGGAATATAAAGAATGCCAGACTTCTAGAGAAGCCTATAATGGTGAGGAAGATGATGGTATGACAGACATTGAAGAGGAAATCGATCTAGAAGTAGAAAGGAGAAGAAGAGGAGTATCGTGCAATACTCTGTTGAAACAACTACATCGAAAGAGAGTTCGTGAAGTAGACTTATTGGGAGAACCATCTGGGCGTTTTTTCGATTTTTACGTACTGTACGGGACGCCCAAAAGGAAGAAGAGAGTGCCTCGTTCTGAAAAGTATAGATCGCCTCCAAGAAGAATGCCTCCTTCCACAGGTTGGGTAACTGAAGAGGAAGCATCAGAAAACAGTAAAAAGGGAATTCAGGAGACAGAGGCTCGGTGCGATATGCTGCATGTTGACTTATCACAAAAGGATAACTCAACAGAGGACAAGCAGGAAGTAGAAATAGAGGCTACCGAAAAGGTTATTTTTAAACGGCCAGCCATGAAATTGACTAAACACTTGAGGCCGTTGTACGTTAAAGCTGTAGTTAACGACATACCTGTGGCAAAAGTGTTTGTCGATAATGGAGCAGCTATAAACACCATTCCATTTAGAATGATGAGGAAATTTGCAAAGACAGAAGGGGATATGATTCCGACAGAAGGGGATATGATTTCAGCAGAAGTCATCCTT